GCAATATCTGCTCCAACATCATCATCAATTCCCATAAAAAAACACCTCAATCCTGCCTAAGTTAATTTTCTACCCCAAAATCAACTCAAAACATCTAACAAGTCTACTAATGTTAAGAGCCTGTTGAACTCCAGCATCCATAAAAATAAAAATATCATGATCATCATCAAACTCTAAATGCAAAATACTCAACCCAGAAGATGCCACCACAATACTTTGAACATGTCCAATTCTTTAGCCATAACCAACATCAAATAAAGTGTTTCAACAACAAATATAAACATGAAAGGTGATAGAGGATCTCCCTAGCGAATACCTCTTCCAATAGTGAATTCAATAGTTGGATATTCATTAACAAGAATTGATACTCTAACAGCCAAAATACACTCCAATATCTATTTTTTCCATCTTTAAGCAAAACCCATATGCTCCATCACAAATAGAAAGAAGCTTTAATCCAAGCACTCATATGCCTTCTCAAAGTCCAATTTGAGCACAATCCTACCCCTATTCCACATCTTCTTTTTCATACTATGAATAATTTCATTAACCAAGAGAATCTTGTGGGAAAACACTTAAATAAGCTGGTTGTAATCTCATCCCTAGAATTAAGTATGTTGTAATCTATATCCCTAAAATTAAGTATTTATATCTATAAAAAATTAGGATAAACAAGCCTCAATTATAAGGATCAATTTTAGAAAAATTTAATTTTCTAACTATATATAAACCTAAGGTACTTGTACAATTCAATAGAGAAGTTTTCTATATGCTTTCAATTTTTTTACATGGTAATAGAGCTTTAAGCTCTTCTTGGGAAGAAAAATTTTTCAACTTTTATTGCTAAATTCAATTTCAAGCCTTCATAGCCAAATCCTATTAAGTCTTTCATAGTCTTATTTTTTCATTCTTTAGCCTTCATTTCCTAGAATCGTCTCTGGTGAAACTTTTACTATCAAGACTCATTTTAGTCTTGAAAAAGATAACCATGCTAAAGATACAAGAATCTACCACTATTATTTGATTTGAAGAAGTGACAACTATAAGACCATCGGAGTACTACAAGAGTCTCGACAAGAAGAAGAGTTAGACAGAAAAAAGATTAAGAAATTGAGAAGCCTATTGAAAACCTTTGAAAAGCCTACTAGGGTATGTTCTTCAGGTAAAGTCTTTAGCTCAGGTAAAGCTTCTAATTCTCATGGACTAAATATCTTGGTTAAATATATTACGAGTTCTTAAGTCATTGACTCAAGAGCCACAAACCACATGACACATTTCTTACAGAAGTTTAGTACATATACAATATGTCCTAGTAAGAAGAAAATTGTTATTACAGATGGTTCACTTACTATAGTGGTAGGATTAGGAAATGTTCAAATTAATCTCTAGTTTGTTCTTAAAAATATTTTTCATGTTCTTAGATTATCTATAAATCCGATATCTATACAAAAACTTTTTATCCCTTATAATATGAATTTCAAGATCAGAGTTCGAGAAAGAGGATTAGGCTTACTAAGGAGAAAGATGGAATATACTATCTTAAGACATCAAAGACCACAAGTAATATAAAAAATAGTTTACATTTGTTATTTCTTTCTGAAATATCTCTCAATAAAGACAAAATCTGACTTTATCATTTTCGTTTTGGATATCCTTCTGTTGGAACTTTGAAAAACATGTTTCCTTCTTTGTTTAAAAAATTAAATGTCAAAAAATTTTCATCATGAGGCTTGTGAACTTGCAAAACATAGAAGTGTGTCTTTTTCAATTAGCAATGAAAGAAGTTCTACTCTTTTTTACTTGATTTATAATGACATATGGGGTACATCTACAATTCTTAATATTTTTGGTGTAAAACGATTTTTTCTTTCATAGATGATTGTGTCAGGGTTTCTTAGATTTTTTTTAATTAAATTTAAATCAGATATGAATAGTATGTTTTTAAGCTTTCAAACATGATCCAAAATCAATTTGAAGTGAAAATCAAGAAATTTAGGTCTGATAATGATAGAGACTATTTCAACCAAAATCTATCTACCTATTTTCAAAAAAAGAGAATTATTCATGAGTCATCTTTAGTTAATACTCCACAACAGAATAGAATGGCAGAGAGAAAAAACAGCCATCTACTAGCTACAACCCAAACCTTACTTTTGTAAACAAATGTATCCAAATCCTACTGGAGGAAGTTGTTCTCATTGCCACACACATTATAAATGGGTTACCCTTAAGGGTTTTGGGATTTAAAACTCTTATGGAACACCTCTCACAATTTTATCCCAATTTTAATACCACAAACAATCTCACACCTAAGATATTTGCTTGTACATCATTTGTTCATGTTCAAAATCATAATAGTGGAAGTGAGATCCAAGAGCAATTAAGTGTATTTTTATAGGGTATTCATTAACTCAAAAAGGGTATAAGTGCTATTATCCTCCTACCAAAAAATTATGTGCCTACCGATGTCACTTTTGAAAAAAGTAAACCATTTTTTACTCAACCATATTTTTAGAGGGAGACTTCATTCATGTAAGATAAAGATAAAGACATCTTTTTGTTTGACTTGTTCTCCTCCTCTCTAACATTTTCACCTATTAATTATTCTAAGTCTAAACCCATTTCTTTCGAGTCCAAGTCAAACATTAAATCTAAGTCTAAACCCATTTCAAACATAAAAGCTATGACTAAGGATAATACTATTATTGATTCTATGAAGAAATTATAGGTGTACTTATGATGGAAAGTTTCAACTCCAGAACTGGTGCAAGTCCAAAAACCTAATCCTAACTCTCGAAATGAGGTAACTACAGTCTTTAACTTTATTTCTCAGAATGAGAATGAATCTTTTAAAACTAAAAACTAATGATTATGATTTACCTATTGCCATTAGGAAAGGAACCAGAGAAAGTACTAAGCATCCACTATACCCAATCTATAATTTTTTGTCAATTGAAAAATTCTCACCATCTCATAAAATTTTTCTTATGGCCTAAACACTATTTCTATTCCAACTACATTATTCGAAGCATTATTCAGTGAGAAATAGAGGCAGGCCATGAAAATTAGAATGGAAGCCTTAGAGAAAAAGAAGACATGAGAATTGATAGAGTTGCTTAAAGAAAAAATTCAATTGAGTGTAAATGGGTTTTCACTGTAAAATAAAAGGCGGATGGTACTACTGAAAGGTATAAAACCAAGTTAGTGGCTAAGGCTACACTCAAACTTATGGAATGGATTATCAAAAAAATTTTGCTCCAGTTTCCAAGATGAATACATTTAGGATTTTGTTGTCTTTGGTTGCAAATTACAGTTGACATCTTCAACAATTTGATGTAAAAAATACTTTTCTACATAGTGATTTGGAAGAAAAAATATATATGAAGGTTCCATCTAGATTTGGAGGTCATCTAGAAGCAAACAAAATATACAAGCTGAAAAAGGTTTTATATGGCCCTAAACAGTCTCCTAGGGTTTGGTTCAAGAGATTTACCAAACTGATGCTAGCAATGGGATATAAACAAAGTCAAGAAGATCACACACAGTTTATCAAGCACTTAGATTCAGGGAGAGTCACAGTTCTATTAGTTTATGTTGATGATACAATTATAATAAGAGATGATGAAAAAGAAAGAATTTTTAAAATAATGTTTGGCAAGAGAATTTGAGATAAAAAAGCTAAGAAGATTGAAGTACTTCCTAGGAGATTGAAGTACTTTCTAGGAATTAAAGTAGCTCACTCACGACATGATATTTTTATCTCACAATAGAAATATGTAATGGATCTTTTGAAGGGAATTGGGAAGCTCGTATGTAAACCATCAAATACCCTTATAGATCCAAATCATAAACTTAAAGAAGCTAATAAAGATGCAGTTGTAGATAGAGAGATGTACCGGAGATTAGTTGGAAGACTCATTTATTTCTCACATACTAGACCTGATATAGCATATATTGTAGGTGTGATAAGTCAATTTATGCATAGTCATAAAGAAGTGCACCTACAGGTTGTCTACCATGGACTACACAATTTAAAGGCCAATCATGGAAAATGTATCTTGTTTAAAATATATTCGGGGTTGGTTTTAGAGACATATATAGATGCTAATTATACAAGTTCGGTAACTGATAGAAGATCAACCTCAGGCCCCTACACTTTTCTAGTGGTAATCTTGTGACTTTGAGGACTAAAAAACAGAATGTGGTGGCAAGATCAAGTGCCGAAGCAGTGTTTAGAGCAATAGCTCAAGAAATTTGTGAACTACTATGGTTAAAGATTATCTTAAAAGACTTAAAAATGAAGTGAGATGGATCAATAAGACTCTACTATGATAACATGTCTACAATAAACATTGCACACAATCATGTGCAACATGACAGAACAAAACAATAGAAGTAGACCGGCACATCACAAAAGAGAAACTAGACAGTGGGTTAATTTGCACATCATATGTATCAACAAATGGTCAACTTGCAGATGTATTAACTAAAGATCTCAGCAATGCAACATTTCAAGAAATTATTTTCAAGTTAGGAATGAAAAACACATATTCACCAGCTTAAGCAGGAGTGTGGGAAAACACTTAATTACAGTTACTTGCAATCTTATCCCTAAAATTATGCTGTAATATGCATCCCTAGAATTAAGTATTTGTATCTCTAGAATTAAAAACAAAAAATTAGGATAAACAATCTTTTAATTATAGGGATCAATTTAAAAAGATTTAATTTCCTAATTTACCTTCTTATTAGCTGTATATAAATCTAAGATATTTGTACAATTTAAAAGAGAAATATCCTATATACTCAGTTTTTTCACAAATCCCATCCATGATTTGCCTATGAGTCTCACCCACCAGTTTACCAACTACCAACTTCAACCGACTATTGGTCTAAAATCTTTCAATGAAATAGCAGAGCATAATCGTATATATTATATAAAAAAAAATCGAGCACATGGAAAAAGAATAATAAACATAGGAAAAGATTTCTTTTTTTACCTAGATAATCAATCATTAACAAGCCATCGGAGCATCTACCAGTAGCCTTCTTGAAGAAGGTTTCGCCATAGGGTAACCTTGAAAACACAGATGAAGGGTTCTCTTGAATAAAATTACCGGTATCTGATATCGAATCCCCCAGCTGATATATGGCATCAAACTTGCAAGTACTAAGAATATTTGGATAAGCGCTTGAAATAACGCTCAAGAAAGAGCTAATGACAAGAACCAGAGAGAAAACAAATCTGGGTGGTAGCCATTTCTTGAGAGAAAGAATACTAGAAGCCATATATGCAGAAAATATCACTGGGTTATTCAGCAATTTCTGAGAGGAAAAACTTGGGGTTTGTACAACTAACACGAGGCAACCCCGTAATAAATTAAATAATTTGTTAAAAAATTAAAAATTTAATACAACAATTAATGCATTTATTTATTTTTTATATAGGAGATGAGAAAAGCTTTTTAGTATGTAATAAAAGGATGTTCAATAATTTGCTTGATAAAAAATTAGTTTCTTTGATTAAGTCATTGTCTTTCACCGTAACCCAAAAATAATATATAGAAAAATCCAGTCATTATCGGACTCAACAAACTGAATTTAAAAAATAGGCGTTTTTTCAACGAAATTAAAGAAAATTTCCGATTCTTAGTGCCGGCTTTTGTGTAAATTTAATAATGTTTGTGTAAATAAGTTTCATTAAATTAACTATATTTTTTCTTAAAATGTTGTTTTTTTTATGTTAATATAATCGATGTTTTTAGAAACATTTTTAGCAAATATCACGAATTTTTTAGTAATATTTATAAACTGTATTAAAAAAATACTGTTAAAAACTTATTTCCTGTAGCTTCAACACTAGGATAACAAATTGTTTTCAAAGCATTCATGAAGAATATTGAATTTTTTGCACTCAAATGGTCTCAATTCAACATGTGAGAAAAAAATCAACCGATCAAAATGAGCAATTTGCACAAGTCACTAACACAACTGATCACGTAACCAAAAAAACTAATATTTTTACGTTCTTTTCTCATTTCTTGTCAGATAAATCAAGGATGTAATTGGCTTTAAATCTCTAGCTATGACATTGCTTTTGTTGAACGTGTCAGTGACCTACAAAATTATTTAATTAAAATCCAACTATTTTTAATGCAAAGGATTGCTTGTTGAACTTCAATTTGATGAAGTAAGCCCACCTCGTCTGCATAATCAACAATTAACCGAGGCCTTTCAAAAAGAATCCGCAGCTAATTAAGGTTATTTATTGTTAGATAAATGCTTTTTATTTTATTTTATTTTATTTATTTTGTAAAAATGAATCGAAAGAAAAAAAATTTTTTGAATAGAAAACAAAAGACAAATAACAAATAACAAAAAACAAATATTGTACCAAATGAAACCTAAGTTGTCTGATATCATCTTTATTTTATTTTATATTTAAGATTTAGAGGAAAAAAAAATGTTTAAAACCTACTCTTTGCGTAAACGATCATGAACCTATCACTGAGACAAAAGTCGTAACAATTGCCCGTTATCGTCTAGATACAGATTTTTCCGAGAAATTGTCAAGTTTCAAGTAATATTAATATTAGCAAAAGATAAGAACAGATTGGTATTACTTCGACATCAAATTATAAATGCGTCTTAAAACCTCTAATTCGGGGGAAAAGTAGTTCCTAGAAAGCGATATATGATACAAGAAAGGAAATAGAAGGAAACCATATATATAATTACAATACATGGAAATTGAAATCAACTAATGGGGATGTTTAGCTACCAGTCTAATGGCTCCCATTCAATCTGATTAATTCTTTCCTAACATTTGCCTGTTGAAACTACTAAAAGGCTGCTCACACTTACATTAAAAAAAAATGCAAGTAATTGCACCTTAAATTTAGTAATTTTTAATAGTTTGATATTATATGAAAAAAATTATAATATAAAATATCTAAATAATTAATATTAATAATAATTTATAAAATAATGATGCTTCATTTTATAGAAAAATATAAAGTATAAACTAATTTTAATGAAAATAATTTTTTTTAAATTATTAAATAAATTCATTGAATTTTTATGAATAAATACAACTTAATAAGTATTATCTTTCACAAATTAATAAAATCTTAAGGTCAAATTATACTAGAGATCCATGTGTTCTTTCATATTTTGAAATTCAATCTTTTTACTTTAATTCATATAAATTTAACCCTCACATTATTTCAATTTAATAATTCTATTCCATTAAGTAACTCTATTCAATTTTTCTAAGATTGACTAAAATAACATGACATTTTTATTGGTTCAAATTTAATGGGATATTTGACATAGATTAAATAATATATCACGCGGCATTTTTTAATCCACATCAACAAATCTTTTTTTATTCAAAGAACTCGTTAACTAATTTAAAGTCTTAAAGTTAAAATTTTTGAGTAAAATATATAAATAGTCACTCAATTTTAGAAATCCTTTTAAAATGATCACTAAAATATTAAGTTTTTTAATTTAATCACTTAAATTTGAGTAAGTATTTTTTGTTACTTAATTGTTACTGTCTAACGATGTGCTGATATGGTAATGCCACATTAATTGTCAAATACCACATGGTATTGCTGGAGTGGCCTTTACAAATTTTGAAAAAATAAATAAATTTTAGTCATTTAATTTTTAAAAAATTGTTATTATAATCGCTTATCTTTGAAAATTTATAATTTGATTACTAATAAATAAGTCTTTAAATTTTATTTAAAAACAATAGAAATAATCATTTGATATTTTTATTACATGAAATTAAATTATAAAATCTTTATTTTATTGTATTAAACTATTTAAACTTAATAAATAGATGAATATTATTCAATTGTCAAAATTACTAAAATAGCAATATTTCAAATTTTTGTGATTCAGTTCATCTAAATAAATTCAACTAGGTATTTAATATTTCATAATGTCAAGATTCTAATTACAATAAAAATTTATAATTTTAATTTCATCCAATAAAATATTAAAAAATATATATAGATAACAAAATTTATTGTCATTAGAAACTTGACATTATAAAATATGAAATTTATTAATATTTTGATCACTAACATTTGTAAAATTTATTAATATTTTGGCCTCTATTGTTAATAGCTCATTCTCATTGTAAATTTATAGTAAGTTGATCACCAACGTCTATGAAATGTAATATCATAAATTATTTATTATTTATATATGTTACCTATTGAAATATTGAGATAATACTCAAATACGTAATTGAATTTTATAAAAAAAATAGAAACAAACATTCAATACTTTTATTGCATGAAATTACACTGTGAACATTTTTTTTTTAATTATACTATTTAAATTTGAAAAATAGATAAATGTTAATCAATTATCAAAATTACTAAAATATTATTACTTAAAATATTTGTCATTCAATTAATCCAAATAAATTCAAGTATTTATATAATTTTTTATATTTTGATCACCAATGTTTGTGAAATTATTAATACTTAGATGTCATCCTTAATGTAGCTTTATAACGATTTAATTACCAATGGTTGGTAATTTTTAATATAATAAATTATTTTATTTTATCTATATTTTCTTTAATATTTTATTACCTAAAATTAAAACTAAATCTTAACATTATAAAATATAAAATACTTCAATTTATTTGGATGAGCTGAATAACAAAAATTTGAAGTAATATTATTTTAATAATTTTTACAAATGGATAATATTCACCGATTTTTTAAATTTATATGGTACGATTACAATAAAATAAAAATTTTATAATTTAATTTCATGCAATAAAACATATCAAATACTTATTTTATTTTTCTTATAAATTGGAAGATTTATTTGTTAGTAATAAAATTATAAATTTTTAAAGTTGAGTAACCAAAATCAAAATTCATAAAAAGTTAAGTAAATAAAATTTATATATTTTTTTCAAAATTTAAAAATGCAAGATTAGCAATTCCACATCAAATGATGTGGCATGCCATGTGGCACCTGACACTGACGTAATCATTGCCATATTAGCATGTTAGTAAACACTAACGACTAAGTAATAAAAAAATATTTATTCAAACATAAACGAGTAAATAAAAAATTAATATTTTAATGATCATTTTAAAAAAAACTCTTAAAATTAGGTGACTGTTTATGTATTTTATTCAAAACTTTTTATCTTAAGCGAAAAAAAATCAGTCAAAAAAAAAAATCCAAACTTCCAAAATCAAATCCCCAAATCCTTTCTAATCCTAAAACCGAAATGAAAAATCTCTTGCCTCGGATGGCTTCTTTCTTTCCTTCTTTCTCAAAATATTTGGATGTTGTGTTGTGTTTTGCTGGATCTTACGCTGGCATATTTCTTTCCTTTTGGTGCTTAATAATGGTACGTGTTCTTCAATGCACGTCAAGGGGAAACTTAACAGTTGATTTCGAAGAATAGTTAAGTGAATTCATAGTACTTTTTGCAGGGTGGGCCTGTGATAAGTTGGGGAGTTAGTTCATTTGGCGAGAGTAGATTAATAAAGTGGTAACTTTGAAGAGAGTTGTCGTTGTTGTTTTTTTTTTTTTTTTTTTGGCTTTTGGTGTATAGATTTCAAAAGGGTTTATGTTGTATTTGGATAGACATGAGTAAAGAAAAGGAAAGTAAAGTAACGTTTTTTAGAGAATAGAAAATGATATATGTACCTCTTGTTTCAATAGCTAAAATTAATAAAGAAAATAAAAGAAAAAAATTTTAACAATCATTATTTGATTAAAAAATAATAAAAATAATTTATTATAATATTTTCTTTCAATTATATCCTTTTTAAATAAAATATTTTATTTATAAGTGAACAATTTAAAAATTAACTGTGTAAGTAAAAAAAAAAGAAGAGAAAATCAATAAAAGAGATGGATTTTTATTAATACATAAAAGAATGTATGTTGAAATTATTTCCATATATTTATATTTTAAAAATTAATTCTAATGACAAAATTCAAGAATCTAAATATATCTTTGTAAATAAAATTAATTATAAACTTGTATTAGTATTTTCTTGTAAATTTAACAAGCTCCATTAATATAGACATAAATTTTCCAATTATAAGTGTTTTTATGTACATGGTTTTTTCTTTTTCCTCAAATTTGTGAAATAATTATAAAATATCATAAAAATATAAGGCTTCAACATAAATTAAAAAATATTAGAAAATATAAGAAAATAAAGTAAATAGGGAGATGGGTTTACGTGTGATAAAAAATAAATGTTAATATCACTTGTCAAGTTTACAATTATTCTTTGAAAATTGAAGAAAACAATAATGAAAATTTTTTATTTTATATTTTAAATAAATTTATCTCTTTTTTTTTCCTAGCTTTTCTCCCAA